GTTAGGAGAGTTGGTGATCTCTTGAACAAATCACCAGAGGCGCCAAGATAAGTTCATCAAGAGCAGGAAGGAACAAGGGAAAACAGGAGGTTTTCCCCGTGGACCGACCCGTGACGAGATCCTATTCCCGGGCCCTCAACAGACACCCTCAACCCAGATAAAAGAGTTTGGACCTTGGTGTTGAAAGGCTCCTTTACTTGTGCTTCCTTTTTAAATCCCTTTGCTCTTCTCCCTCCCCTTGGGTTTTCCCAGTGCAAGAAATTTGCTCTAGGCCTATCCCCTCCAAAATAACTACTTTTTGTTAGGAGATTTATCATGGTAAGATTAATACTTTGGATAACCTGCAGAAGAAGAGACCTTATTTGTGTCTATCCCCAAATTGGTGCACAATGTGTTAAGTGCAGAATGAGGACTGTTACCATTTGCTACTATCTTGCTCCTTTGCTGTAGATATTTGGACTTTGGCATTCTCTTTATTTGGGTGCAGGTGGAACTTGCTTTTTGAAGTAAAAATGCTCTTTATTCCGTCAACCTTTGGTGGCCAATGAAGAGATGAAAACTGATGTGGAAATGTATAAGACCAGCTACGGTATGGACTATTTGGGAAGAACAGAATGCCAAAATATTCCAAGGAAAAGAAAGGAGTCTTGAGGAAGTTAAGGAGAGTATTTTAACAAGAACCATCTTTTGCCCAAAGACTTCTGATTTATTTGTGGATTATTCCTATGATGACATTTGGAAGGGTTGGGTAATGGTGGCATCTATAGTCTCTAAGAAGACTAGGAGACAGGTAAGGTGGACACCTCCTCCAAAAGGGGTTGTAAAGCTGAACTTTGATAGTAGCAGCCAAGGCAACCCAGGGCCCTCGGGCATTGGAGGGGTTTTGAGGGACAAGGATGACAACATTATCTCTTTATTCTCAGGTCCAGTGGGAGTTGGAGACTCAACAAGGGCTGAAATATTTGCAGCTGTACAAGGCCTACAAATTGCTAACCAACTTGGGGTGATGAACCTACTAGTAGAAGGTGACTCCGAGGTGGTAGTGGGTTGGCTGCTGAATCTGATCAGTGCTGTTTGGGGCTACAGAGGTCTCCTGAAAAAGGTAAAATGGATCACAAGGAATATGCCAGTCAACTTCCAGTGGATTAGCAGATCAGCAAATGCTTTGGAAGACTCTCTAGCCAAACAAGGGGTTTCTCGGGCTTCTTTATATTGGAATAATCTATAGTTCTGTTCTGTTTTTGTTAAGACTTGGGTCTATACTCACCTTAAAGGGGAGGTAGCGTGCATCCTCCAAGGCTGATTGTTCTCTCTTTTGTTCTCCTTAATAAAACTACTTATTCATTCATCAAAAAAAGGAGACTGAGACTGTAGTGAGCTGGCTAAAAGAAGACAACTCTAGGCTTTGGAACTACAACAATGAAAAGAGGAAATTTAAATGGCTGACTAAGGACATTGAAGTTCTATGCACATGGGTAAAGAGAAGTACAAATTCATTTGCAGGTGACTTAGCTAGGCAAGGGGTGAATAGGAGTTCTGTTTATTGGGCTCAGTTGTATTTGTTCTTTTATTTTGGGTGTATGTTGGCATTTTTGCGGAGTTAAGATATTTTAGCTCCCCTCCTCTGTAATCTTATTCTTAGTTAATGAATCTTACTGTTATTGATAAAAAAAATAAACCATACAAGATTAAGAGTTTAATACATATTAGTGCAATAAAGCACAAGCTTTATTCACTTATAAACTGACCCTCCCACAACTTGAAGGATTTATTGCATGAATTTCCATTTTACTACAATATCACTTGTTGTGGATTCCAGTCTTTTGAAGATTGGCTCTAAATGAAGCAGCCCAATCAACAAGCTCTGATATGGCATGTTTGTGTGATTTTGGGTTGACATTTTAGTTTGTCATTTTCTTCCAGGTTTCAGGGGTATTTTTTAAAACTTTATTTACATAGTGGGGGTCCAGCTACTGGGAATTGTTAGTTCAGTCATTGTTTAGTTTTCTAATAATTAAAAGAAGATTTATTAAAAAAAAAGGCCAAAGGCAAAAATTCAAGCAAAAGAGTGGAAGGAGGACATGATAAAGCTTCCCCCCATGGTACAAAGATTATAGCATCCTACTCATTAGAGAAATAAGAAAATTAGAAACTGTAAATCTCTTAGGATTAACACCAAAGAAATTACTTTCTTTCAATGGCTCCAATTACTGCTTTGACCTTACAGGGTTTCCTATAAAAGTTCAAAATTTCCCCTCTTTCCATATGCACCAGCCTGTGGCAAACAGAGTAAGATTCCAGCTTGTTGCTTATCATCCATAAGGCTTGCTAGATCATTGAGGACGACCCATTGTTGCCTGAGAAGCTTGAGGAAGTGCCACCATATTTGTAATGAGAAGTCACAATGAAGTAGGAGATGCTGGGCCAATTCCAAGAATGAAAGACAAAATGCATTAGCTGTTCAGCACCACCCCTTTGGTGAGGAGGTTTATCAATGGTTAGAGTTCTGTTGAGAGCCATTATTTGCTTATTAAAGTTTCATGGAATAGGTAGTTACAGTTTTTTCTTTTCTTTCAGTTTTGTTATCAGTGGAAGTTCTATAATTTTTCAAGTAACACTGTTTGGGAAATCCAGGAGGTTCAGGGATTTGGGGTTTTTTTTAGAGACTATGATGGGTATGTACTAGCCTTATTCTTGGGTGCTATTGGTTATGGAGACTCCATAAGGGTGGAATTGTTGGTTGTGTTACATGGACTTAGACTGGGAAAACTTCTAAATTACAACAACATAGAGGTAGAGGGAGATTCAAGGTTGTGATGTGCTGCTGCATTCAGAAACAGCGCAGGCCCTTGGATTGATCGTAGGCATGCAATAGGAGAAATAAATAAACTGGTAGGGGAATTGGGTAGAAGATTTAAGTGGATGATCCAATCAGTAATCAGCAAGTAGTATGGCTGATGCTTTGGCAAGACAAGGAGTGGGTGGAGCCAATGGTTTTGGGGTTGACTTCCAAGGTTGCCTTGTAGGTTGAAAATTAAAATATAAATGTGGAAGAGTGGGTAGTATATGCTAGCTTCTATAAGGTGCTTGGAACACTTCTGTGTATATCATTTTATTTTTAATCTTAATACTAATAAATTGACATGTTACTGATTAAAATAATCCAGTCCAGTATGGCTGGGTTTCCCACTATAGCAACCTATTAGAAGACTTACTTGATTTCCACTATTGAGGGGCCATTACTTGTTGTAATGGTAAAATCTCGGGCTAGTTAGTGTGAGAACATGGGTTCAGGTCCAAGAGCGGCCACTTTGTGCAAAAGAATGCTAAAGGTTAGGACCATAACCAGTCCACCCTCCCAAGACCCCAGATAGCTGGGACCAAGACTGTCATTGGGTAATGGCCTTTTTAAGGCTTGATTTCCACTTTTAGTGAAGGGATCTTGTTGCTCTGGTGCTTTTGTTGACTTGGTGAGTGATTTCCAGCGCCTAGGAGTAATTATTAGGATCCTAGAATGATTCTAGTCCTCCCGTTGTCTCTATCTTACACATTCTCTCTTGCTATTTTAGTGTTGCCACTGCTAATAATGCTTGTTGTTGATGCTCAACATTTGATAAATCTACACTGTTTGTTCTAGTTTACAGCAGAAACTAAGTAACTAGTCAATCTATTATTGGATTCCATCCATTATCTGAACTTTAAGCCTTAGAAATGTTCTAGAGGGTATTTCCCTATATAAAAACCCCAAGAGAGAAATCCATTGCACCAGTGTGGGTATTTCCCCATATAAAAACCTCAAGGGAGAAATCCATTGTACCAGTGTTGGTATGATATTTTGCCAACATGGAGGATATGCATGGCATGAGACTATGTTAAAAGTATCCTGGATTCACCAATTTTGATTGTTAGGGAATTTTTGTCTTAGCTAATGCACTTATTCCTTTCAACTATCTTTTTCTTGTATTATACTAGATTCTCAACATCAACATATATTTCCTTTATTTACCTTGTTATTTACTAGGTGTAGAATATCTGATATCAACTTTGTTGACCAAGTTTCTTGGTTGCATTTACATGCATATAATGAATTTCTATTATGTTTCTTAAATGCAGACTTATGATAAGGCAAGGAATGCAGTGGCTCTTGCCCTAAGTCCAGTTGTCCGGGCTCTTGTTGATCCAGATGGTGCAATGATGGACATAAGGAACTTGGATAATGTAAGGATTATCTCTCTCTCTCTCTCTCTCTCTCTCTCAGATGCCGCGTCAAGGGGCAGAAAGGGATTCTTTGTTTTGGGCTAAGCTGTAACGTTAGTGTCTTTGTATCTTTGTATTTTCTTTTTTCCTTTCTTGAAGTTCTTTGTAACTCTTGGAAGATAAGTGTGTTTGTCTTCCACTTGTAAATTTTCTACTGATGAATTAATGAAAGTGTTATTGATAAAAAAAAAAAATGAATGGGGGATTCCAGCCATACAGTGAGGGACTGTACTTATCCTCCAGGACAACACAGACACCAGAAAGAAATTTTACAAATGCATCCATCATTTCTCAAACAGGCTGCTATTTTATTTTCTAATGTTTATTCTTTTTATCTAGAAAAGGAAATACATTGTCACCTTTCACAAGGTGCACTTTCTCTTATTGTTTTGTCAAATTAGCTACAATACCAGGATACCTGTGCAACAGTGCTCTATTCTGTTGGATACTCCAATTTTCAGTGTAAATTGTGTATCTAACACTCTCTCCAGCACTGTCCTTGCTGTATATGTATAACATAGCATATTATTGGTATTCTTTTAGAGTATACAGCCTTTTTGCTAAAATTCCTTGTATTTCTAAGGTATTGTAATGGGTGTATTAATTGCATAGATGCCTATGCTTTTTCTTTTTACTCATAATTCTCGTTCAATAATTGGATGCCACTAAAACTTTCTATCTACAGGTTAGCTTCTCTGATTGGTTTCTGTCCAAAGGTGGTACACGAATGAGTATCCAGAGAATGTGGGATCCTGTTGCTTATGCCCTGGGATTTATTGACTGTGATAATATCAGTGCCCGTTGCATGCTCACTATATTTTCATTGTTTGCAACCAAGACAGAGGCTTCCTTACTCCGCATGCTCAAGGGTTCTCCTGATGTTTACTTGAGTGGTCCTATCAGAAAGTACATTATGGACAAAGGGGGCAGGTATGAGTACAATGATAGGGAGCGTATGCAACCAAGATGCTATTGCATGTCTTTTGTTACAATAATTTGACATGTTTGATTTCCTCTCTCTGCTTTACAGGTTTCATCTCAGGTGGGGATGCAGAGAGATACTTTATGATAAGTCTGCTGATGGTGATTTATATGTTACTGGACTTGCCATGTCTAAGGTAAGATTACTTGCAGTTCCTTTCTGGAAGCTCTGTTGTGCAACACATATTTCTAACTTACATAGTAAAGATTTAACTGTGTTTTTGTTGATTTGTTTGTTATGTGACATGAACTGCAACTGCAGTTCACTTCCTCTTTTGAAATTTTTGGTGTACATGCATATGGCATATAACTTTTTATTGATTAATGGAGTTGCAAATTGTTAAAGAAAGGTTTGGACAAATTGTTTACTCTAACCTATCCCATCATTTTTTTGACCAGTCTAACCTACGCCATCATTTACCGCTCCATCCTGTGCTTGTATGCATGAGCATGTGGACTTTAAGTTGTAATCCCACTTTACTTCTTTTCTACATAATCTTAATTAATTGCCAACTTGTAATTGGTTAACTACTTCTTTGGATTCTTTTACATGCAAAGATGCCTTGGAGGTTTCTAGATTTCTTTTTTCTATTGGGTTCTTGTGGGAATTGCTGTAAAAATTATAACAAAAAAATGTCGTTTAAAGTCAAGTACCTTCTCTATAAATCTTCTCCGTGTTAGAAATCTCATGGTTTTAATAATAAAATAAGAAACTTTTAATCTATTAGCTTTTTTTTTTCTTTGGGAATATACAGAAAACCACTATATATCCACATTTGAAACAAACAGAAAACTTTTCTCAAAAAAGATATCAAAAGATCTATTTGTTATTACTTAAGGCAGAGTTGGTGGATGAAAGCCACTATATATCCACATTTGAAACAAATAGAAAACTTTTCTCAAAAAAGATATCAAAAGATCTATTTATTATTATACTTAAAGCAGAGTTAGAGGATGAAGACTGGTTAAAATCCAGGTCTATTGTATTAACACTAATAGGCTTTACCAACCATCTAACTGGGCCTTCCGGATTGGGCATTCTTGTTTCTTGAAGATATACACAATTTTGAAAGTTTTGAAAATCAATGAACTGCACATTTTTTTTTTCTTGGAGGGTTTGGGTTTGGACAGCATATTTTTTATGAAAAAAGAAGCTAGGAATCATTAATGATGCTGAAATCACAAAACTATCCAGGTGCCATGTGGATACATTACTGCCCTAGATAAAAGCCATCCGATAAAAAACAAAAGTAAAATAAAAGACAAAAACAGGATCAGCTACATCTACACTGTGTAGCCAGTACTCTTTCCTTGAAGAATATATGGTTGGCAAAGATTTTCAACTGTGGAAATATCATTGATGGGGAACTGAAATTTTAGAAATTAAAAGTTTTACTTTGTTCCTAAAGTATTAATGTTTTTATTCTTTCTTTTTAATTCTTAGAACAATAATGCATATGAGAAAAATGAAAATAAATAAAGAAATGCACACATATATGCAATCCTTAGTGCCTAGAACCTTTCCATGTGGGATCTGGCATTTTGAATGCCTACAATGTGAGCAAGCATGAGACCCCTTCAAAACTACTAGTCTTCAGGTGCATATAATACATCTTCCACTATCTCATCCTCCACCCGACTTTCTTTCTCTTATGTTCTGTCCTCTTTCATAAGAACCTATATATTTTTCTCTCTTAAAAAATTATTTAAATCATGAAAAATTATCATGAATATTAATTTTTGCTAATTAAAAAATTGAAATAAATAAGTTACTAGGGTACTCACATAATTATATATGGACAATACCCTCTCTGTTTCTGTGTGCTAAGATGCAGACATAAAGGAATTTGATATTTTGTGAGAGGACCTTTTAAATGAATTGATAATGTATGATGAAAATCCTGGATGAAAACGAAATGAAAAGTAGTTGTTTAAAATTGGTAATGCATGTGTGTAGATTCATTTGCTTATTTAAAATATCAATTTGAGCTTCTGATAGAGAACTTAAGAGAGGCCATTACCCAATGTTGGTCTGGCTATCCAGATTCTTGGAATACATTTAAACCATGAGTTGGATTTGAAAATGCTAAATAGGTAACACTATTTTCAGGACTGATAGGAGTAGGGGACTTGGGCAAGAGCAGAAATAACAGTGAGGGTTTAAGAATTTGGAAATAGAATGTGGTTCAAAATTAGTAATTTCCTGGATGGATGACAAAAGTCCTGGTAAGTGGAATTTCAGACATCTAATTAGAGAAATAAAGATCTTAGCAAAGGATCTCAAGGCAAGCTTCAAATGGGTCAATAGAACAGAAAATGGGATGGCTGATACTTTGGCAAAACAAGGGGCACATAGTCATCAACTATTCTAGGCAGACTTGGGATAATCTTGTAAATTATGAAAAGCTTTGCTTCTCATACGTCTAAAATTGATCTTAATCTGTACTATTTTTCTCCCTTGTAATGAAATGAAATTCCTTTGATTCCTGATAAAAAAATGCTAAATAGGTATAAAGTCAACTTCCATAGATTGCTAATCTCTTTTACTGCTCAGATCTCCAAGGATAATTTCTTGTGTCTGTTAACTGTATATATTGAATTCAGTCTACAGAAGTAAACTTCATGTTTCTTTTTTTCTTTCATCTCAGGCCACGCAGAAGAAAATAGTGAAAGCAGATGCCTATGTAGCAGGTCTGCTGTTAGACTTTCCCCTATTATCATTGTTCTATGTTTTGTTTCAGGAGTGCAAATTTGAATGAAATGAAATTTACATTCCCATGGCAGCATGTGACGTCCCTGGAATCAAAAGATTACTTCCACCACAATGGAGGGAATTGGAATTTTTTGATAAAATATATAAACTAGTTGGAGTGCCTGTTGTCACTGTGCAACTTAGATACAATGGTTGGGTTACAGAGTTACAGGATCTGGAAAGGTCAAGGTGACTACTCTTTCATTGGCCTTGGAATGAAACTATTTACAGTATGATGTTGAAAGTCTCCATTTTACAGGGCTAGTTAGTAGTTACGAATCTGGTATCCTCATGACTAGCATATCAGGATTTGGTATTCTTGTTCGCATATTCCTTACAGTATGCTTCAACCTTGTGATTTCTAGGCAATTGAAACAAGCCGTTGGGTTGGATAATCTATTATACACTCCAGATGCGGACTTTTCCTGCTTTGCAGACCTTGCACTTGCATCCCCAGAAGATTATTATATTGAGGGGCAAGGTTCACTGCTCCAGTAAGGATGAATTTCTTTGTGCATTTAATTTGAGGTTTATATTAGCAATGTGATTTCTTTTCTTGGTGAAAAGGCAGCAATTGCCATGATTGGATGCCTTTAAAATGTTAACTATTCCCTACAATATTTTGTTCTACCACATGTATTTTCTTCTCTTTTCTTTGGTTATCTTCATTTTATCAATAACTAGACTTTTTATTCTAACATAATTTATGTACTATACTTTTGGTTCCTCACCTGGTAATGCCAAAGTATTCTGTTTTCATGGAACTATTATTCTGAAACCTAATGTTACACCTCAACCCATGAATCTTACAATATTTTTGAAAAAAATATTTGCTTGTTAAATTGCTTAGATAAATTACATGTATATTGATATTACTAATGACAAGGTGAGAAATCTCACAACAAAGCCATGGAGTCCAAATAAGGACAAAGTTGGAACCCAAAATTAAAAAAGTGAATAAAGTTGCAGTTTAACCATCCTAAACCATAGGGCTGTTCATTAATCGGGCTAAACCAATCAAACCAACCAACCCAAACCAATTCGATCCGAGTTGGTCGGTTTTGTTAACTTTTCGATCGGCCTCGGTTTAAAGACATAAATAAACTGACTGATTGGTTTGGGTCACGGCTTTTGAATTTACAAACCGAGTAAAACCGACCCGAATGGTTGTATATAGTGGGATACATAATGTATTATAGTCGTTTAAAAAAAGTCAATTCTTTCTCACATGTGATATGTTTTGTAAAGTACTTTTTCTAAGACATCACAAGACAATGACATGATCTACCAAGTTTTGTAGGCCTGCAATCCTAGCCCCTACCCCTAGGCCTATTTTTAGGCAAATGCGTACAACTCCTTTCATTGTTTAATTCTTTATCCCTTTTTCATTAAATTTGTATTTTGATATTTGATTAAAATATTCAAATAATTATTTGTTATCAAAACAAATGTCAGAAAACCTGTACCAATCATAATGATTTCCCCTTTTCTTTTTTATTTTCAATTTTCATCTCATTTCATACAAAACCCCAAGCTACAACCTATAAACAGCAAAAATACAAGAAAAAAGTAGTCTCGGTTCAGTTAAAACTGACCTAACCGAGCATCCGACAGCATTATTTTTAATCGGTTTGTGTTAGTTTTGGGTCGGTTTTGGTTGGCTAATAATCCAACCCGAGATGTTCGGTTTGGTTGCTAAAATACTATGTAACTGAACTGAACCAACCCGTGAACAGCCCTACTGTAAACCATTCATTGAGTTTTTCTGCTCTTCTCCAAGACAATCTGGAAAGATATAAGTGTTTCTTTCTTGGGATTTAGTGTGGCTTGGGGCCCAATAGGGGCAAAGTTCTATACACTAGACCTGGTTAGTAGGGTTAGGGTAGCAGGAATGCACAGGGCCCACTGACAATACACAATGTGGAAATCCTATGTTTCCAAGGGTTTGAATCTGTACCCCCTCAAAGGGAGGGGTGCTAACTGACCACCTAGAGAGCTAAGACTACACGGTCATTGGCCAAAGATATACATGCTTACTTTTCCATCAAAGCTAAGGCAATTCTATCAATGTGTAGAAGTTACAAATACAATACAATGATATCATAGCAAATGAATGAGGGAATACTAATAGAGCATTCTTCTTGGTTGGTCCAAAAGCTGCAAAATTACAATCACTTTATGTCTTAACTTCATTCCCTACATCATAGGAAAATAAACATATGGGCAACTAAAACATCAAGATGAATGAATTGATCTAGTTTGTGTGATTTTTTTTTTTTAATTTTAAATCCTATGATATTTTTATATATCCGTATTTTACTCAACTAAGTCTCAAATTGGCCACTCCTTGGTTTCAGTCTGCCTCAAACTTTGATAATGCCTTTGCATCCACCACCTATATATGTGACCCCCATCCAGATAAATAAAGTGATTAAACTATCTATTGTTCTAGCCTATGCATGTATAGTTTGTATTGTCTTTTGTTTGACCAAGTTGTATTACTGTTTCTTTTAGGTGTGTGCTTACACCTGGTGATCCCTATATGCCCTTGCCAAATGATGAAATAATAAGAAGAGTCGAAAAACAGGTTGGTAGTTACCAAAAAAATCCTCTTCATACACTAAATCCAGTTTTCTTGACATTTCAATGCATAATGTTTGCATGTTAACTTATAGGAAAACAGATAAATATTCATCTATATAACTAGTTCCTGCATTACTTTGGCAAAGCCTTTTTCTATGCAGAAGACAGTTAAATGTCCATGCAGATGTCTTCTTTTTCTTTTTTATTTTCCTTCTGTGGCCATAGGTTACATAGTTCATAAAACAGACTACTATTCATGCAGTGTGAACATGCTTTATTGCTAACTTGGTTTAGATATAGTTCTGCCTGTACTTCCTACACTTGTACATCCAGGCTTAAACGCCATGCTCGACAGTTGCTGCAGATTCCTTGACCAAAGCCAACAATTGAAGACTATGTCCGTCTATTTAATATTTACTAGCTCATAAGCATTTCATCATAGGCTTTGTACAATTCTCACCTCTGAGGAAGAAATCTTTTGTTACCATGCATTTCTCTACAAACATTTTCTTGGAAAGAACTCTACCATAAAATTCTCCAGTTCATTTTCATATTATTTATCTGTTTTTTAAGATAGCTTGGAGTTGAAAGTTGTAGTAACTTGTGCTAGCTAAAGACAGAATAGGTTTCTTAACCGCATCTAACTTTCTCGTCTCCTTTTATCAGGTTTTGGCTTTGTTCCCATCTGCTCAAGGTTTAGAAGTTACTTGGTCTTCTGTAGTCAAAATTGGGCAGTCACTATATCGTGAGGCACCCGGAAATGATCCTTTTAGACCAGATCAAAAGACCCCTCTGAAAAACTTCTTCCTTGCTGGCTCCTATACAAAACAGGTGATGTTGCATCTCCTTTTTATTATTTTCATTTTTTGTTACAGTGCAATGAATAGAATGGGATATCGAAAGAGGATTCATCTAGCCAACCTCATATGGTTGGGACAAGACTTGGGTGATTATGATGATGATGATGATTTTTGTTACAGTAGGCCATCCCTCATGTGGTTCTTGAAGCTTGGATTTGTTTCTTCTTCTAGGTTCTAGGTATCATACTGGATGTATTGCATACTATTGCTTCCTTGTAGGTATTGATTTTCTTGCTACTAGTGATTTTCCCCTCCAGAGTTTATAAATGAAGCACTCACGGGACTGCTAACATATTTGTTCTATGAGATTATGCCATGTATATTCATTACATTTATCTTTTGTGTGAGCAACATAATTGCCGATTCATCCATTTCTTATTTGAATTTATTGATGGATGACTTGGCAATTTTAGTGAAAAGAAATTGAAGTAGATTGCTTCTGCACAGGATTATATTGATAGTATGGAAGGAGCAACATTGTCAGGCAGGCAAGCAGCAGCCTATATATGTGATTCTGGTGAAGCACTAACAGTAATGCGGAAGCACATCAGTACTAATGAAGCTCAAGAAATCACGGAAGCTGGCAAAATCACTGATGAGTTGAGTTTTGTCTGAGATTGCATTTCATTTGTCAGGCACCAAAAAAAATCTAATCAGATTACTTGGGAGACGGTGGGCACTAGCATTATTGGTATGGAATTTATTCTTGTAATTTGAGGTGTCCTTTTGTTCCCCGAGCTGTTCATTTTTCCAGCAAAATCAATGAAATTATATAGAAAATGTGTAATAAACTTATTTTCAGGCCTTCTCTGAAGGTCTGCTAATGTCAAAATGTATTATTCAGCAGCAAGTTATTTCCTGGGTCTATTTACCCTGCATTATGGGTCTTCTGTCTTGATTCTTCTGAATCAGATGAATCCTCTAGAAATGGGCTGCCATTTCAGGAATTGCTCTAAGTTCTCTCTCTCTCTCTCTCTCTCTCTCTCTCTCTCTAAACACAATCGGGTTGGTCGCAAGGTTCAAAGTATCGATAAGTATCAGGCCGTATCGGCCAATACATATTGTATTGGGGCTTCCCGATATGCCCCTACAGAGTTAGTTTATGAAGCAAAAACCACCTAAGAGAGGTTATTTGGAAATTGGGACATGGATTGAAACAGAGAAGGGCGAATGTGAGGCCTATTGGCAATACCTAGGAGAGCCTGCTACTGGTCAGTTGTGAGCAAGGTTCAAAGTATCGATACTGGGCGATACGTGTATCGGCCTGTATCAGTACTCTTTTTTTTTTATTTTTATTTTTTTTGAATCTGGTTCAGAGGGGCCGGTTTAAGACTGGATTACCCCCTGAACCACTTGCCGACCTGAAATAACCCCTGTAAGGGCGTATCCAGAAGGATCGATACTTTGAACCTTGGTTGTGAGGGGGAAAGTTGAGAGCTGATATTGCAATCATGAAATAATCTTATCCAACCATAGGTTTGTGATTTATCACGTCCAATTTACATCATTGATGCACCAAAAATTGTTAGTAAATCTTTCAGATTCTCTGAAGTGAGCAAGTATTTAAATTCATGCCCCATGGTTGGATTAAAAGAAGGTAATCTTTTCATGCCATTAAGCAAAAAAAAAAACAGTATTTTAGTTCTTTATGCTCAGTTTGGAAAGAGCACAAAACTATAAATACAAATATGTACGGTGCAAATACATACAAAATATGAGGTTTTGCACTCTACATATATTTGTACTGCTTCCAAACTGAGCCTTATAGAAGGGATATAAATCCAATGTATAGAAAGCATTTGAACAATTGTCTGTCATGGTGGGTCCCTCATCTGCAGATCCCACAGTGTTTTGGTTGTGTGCTGTATCAATATCATAACTGAAAGAAAACATTTCTGTTTTGTCATGCTTGATGTTAGAAGGATCTGAGGATGCTGTGGTTTCTCATTTCTGTCGAAAATCCATGAGCAATGACATCTCAGGTTTATGAAGCAAAAACCACCCTACGCATCTCTAGTCTTTAGTCTTTACATGCCCTGGGAAGTGTGCCAAGGAGATGAACAATTAGCTCTCGTGTACCACAGAATACAATACATCACTGCATGTACGCCTGCAGGCAGTGGAACAGGGGAGCCTACAGAAGTAGTGAAGCAACCACTTCTCCGTAATGTTTGTCCATGTCTGTGAAATTCACAGGAGATTCGAAGTCAGAACTCTGACGAACCTGGGCTTCCCCTAAAAGCCTAGGACACGGGTAGAGATGTTTTATCTACTTCCATCTCACTCTGACCTCCATTTCAGTCTTTGGATGTCGTTTTTTCTTGTACATGAATACCATAATTCACAGGTGGCAGTCCTTGATGCACAATCAAACAAATATTATTCTGCTCAATTCACCACAAACACCTTCTGGTTTTGGCACACTGAACACTTTATATGGTAAAATAAAAGGTTTTTTTAGGCTTAAAGCCTTTAATTCTTCACCGTTCACCTAACCTAGTACACTTTTTCTTAAGCCATCTTGAAAAACTTGAACCTTTTCTCTAGTCACTCCATATTCATCTCCTAAACCCATTTATTGAGATTACAACCCCAAACTTTTTTGTCCATGACCATTTAATAAAGCTAACTGCATCTTCCGAACTAAAGTGAAACCCCTGATAAAACAATTTTTTCATCAGTTTGTCATCAAAGTTTTCCTAGTTTTTAAAGCACTCCACCTATAGAATCTGTTCGACAAAATTCCCCAATCAGTTCCAAATCACTATGTTATGAGTTCTAACGAGAGAATGCCACTTCTGTTTTTTTCCCCTGGACCCCTAGCGTAGTTGATTTTCTTAAAGTGTCGGCACAACAGACAAGGGTTAAGGTGGTGGTTCAAATGGAACACCTGAAGTTCTCAATATTCCTGCAAAGCACGCAGTTAACCTACATCTGCTTACCAAAAAACAAAAACAAAAACTACATTTTATTCACATGATATAGTAAAGTTACTGGAGAACCTAAAGTAGGTTAGCTCCAGACTAGGAGTTGGTTCTCAATGGTCTTTTGGATACAAGGACAAGTGAGGGACTAGGCATTTCCAGGATGGACTGCCATCCCTTCAGACAATAATGCGCACTCTTTTGCTTTTCATCTGCTGCCTCTGATTATTGGATACTAGGCCCCTACATTGCTGCCTGCCTTTCCTTATCCAGTATTTACTGGACAAACAGCAAACTAGACAAAATGAAGTACTCTGGATCCAAATTGAATTTCTGCTAGCTTTAGATTTCCCTCACACCACCCATTCATAGCTATGATTTAACCTGATGAATAGTTGGTGGATAGGCCTACAGTGTTGTTTCTTGATCAGGATTGTTATAAAGACCAGGATTCATCTTTCATAAAGAGGGTGAGTGGGTGGGCCTCATTAACGATATTTTATCATTTATTATCTCAAAAGCTGGACAGTGATGAGTGCTCCTCGTGCTCCCCTGGAATAAAATTCCAAATTCTACGACTCCTATGCAGAGTCTACCGTCCTACCTAACTGGGCCTTTTTAATAGACTCCATGAAAGGATCCAACAAGAACAGTGCATGCGCGCATGGTTTTCTCTGTTAGGGTCTCTATTACACAATATTGTGGGCTACCTAATGATGAAGGTTTTTGAATTGGCTTCTAATCTCGTTTGCTCTGTCTGCACGCTGCAGGGTAGTCAGTCTGAAAGCGCCATAAATTTTATCTGGGTTGAAGTGAAAGTTCCATTTGATAAGATGTGAAAGTTCCATTTGATAAGATATAATGTTTAGCTTCATCTACTTGTTTGATTAGAGGGGGCCTTCTCCATCTACTGCCCCCCAGATCAGATGGCCACGCATCAACCTACAGACCCTTCGTGCTTCATATATGAATATGATGGTATATGCCGTTTGATCTATAGCTATTCTCTAGCTAGATCCTTCCTAGGTATATGCTCAATGGGTCGGATTCGTTGAGACCCGAATTGACCTGATCCCTTCGGTAATAAGTAATTACTACAGAGAAGCAGCAGCAGGAAACAGGGAATAAAGAGAAGTTCACTTTGAGTAATGTCACAGAACAACTGACACTGAATTGAGAGTAGAAAGCTGAATGAATGTACATAGATAGAGTAGTAGAAATCCTCCTTGAATTCAAAACTTGAGTAAGATAATTGACAAACCGCATGTGGTCGGATTCAAACCTTAATCACTCCTCCATGCGTACAAGAGCAGGGAGAAACCTCCACTCCCACTAGATCTTGTGGATGAAGAACAAGAACTCCTTCCTCCATCACTGCTCTCTTCTGCCCACTGTAAGACGCTTGAACACGACGGAGAAGGTGATAATGAGATCATAGACGAGGAGGAAGATGGCAAGCTTTTCTTCATCAATCTCTTCTCTGGACCTATCATTTCCGGCAACACACCGCCATCTCCCACCTGAAACAGAAACACTCCATGCCCACCACCATCTCTTCCAGACTCGGTTACCCAATTAAAAACATCCCAATAGAATTCCACTTCCGACCCGCCAACCACAATGCGCTCGTTCCCTCTGAATTTCCAGGCCAATCTCTTTACAACCAGGCTTATCTTACCATCCACTTTCACTCTCAACACTCCACCAGCGCATTCGATCCCGATTTCATGTTTCGACTCTGAAAACTGAGCTGTAGTAGTGTAACTCCGATGCCCAAACACGTGCTCACGACGGGACAGCAATGCAGGCTCCGCTGATGGACACACCCGGACAGCTCCAGTGCGGTGCAGTGCATCGTCTCGGAGGTCGCCCAGGAAGAATTCAATACGAGAGTTGCAGGCAATGGCAATGTAAAACCCTGAATCGGGCTCAGCCGAATTCTGGGAGTACACAGCACGAGTGAAGTCCCAGTAGAGCTTAACTCCGTGGCAGTGGTGGCGATGGCGGTTGAGGGAGATGGATTTTGAACCAGGTCGATTTCGGAAGAATGAGAAGGTTGATGGGTAGAGAGAAATAGTGATGGAGAATGAATCAGAGGCATGGATGGTTAAAGAGTGGGAAAAGAGAGTTTTTGACCAGATTAGCGTTAGGTAAGCAGGGGAATTAAAGAGTTGAGTCTGGTATACGCAAGTTATCAGGTTTTGTGGTACCTGGGTGTTGAGGGCGAGAATGTCTGGGTTGCTGAAGCAAGAAGGAATCATGATTTTTGTTTGTTACTTCTATTCACAGACTATAGCTTGAAAGGGTTTTGGGGAGGGGGAGTTTCAAGTTTAGAGTTCAGAAGGATGAGTTTGAACTCAGGGGATGTCTTAGGTTGGGTGGTGGTGGGTTGTCTGCTTTTGGATTTTTCATCATGGATTCTGAAAGAGAGAGGTTGGTGTTTGAGACTTGAGAGAGTGAGATTGAGATGTGGGAGTCGTGTTATGTGCAAGTGGTTTGCTCTTGTCGATATTTTGGTTTTGTGGGTTGTTTTCTTGGATTAGGGGAGGAGTGGTGGTGGGTGCCTTGGATCCCGAGTAACTGAATCATCAGATCATTCTGAATTGTTGATCATCAGCAAAAGGCTTTCTTGTGGTTGTGGGTTCGTTTTGGCTTGATTTGCGCCGTTGACAGATAAAGGAAAATCAAAGGGAAACTTTAGATTGGTTCTCTGTTTCTCTCTCTCTCGTATGACATATGTCACGGAGGTGAGCTGGGTTGCACTGGATTTGGTTACCTGACCCTTTTTCTAAGGATTAAATTTAGATTTTGGAGGCCTTTTTCTTGCTTTCTGAAAAGGGAGATGGGGCCTAGGAAAAGGTAGTAACTCACCCCACTTTTTGTAAGGAGCGTCGGAGTGTGGAGTGTTCTTTACTGTGAGACTGACTTTGGAGAGGTGAAGAATGACTAAACAGAATAAACAATGACAATCTAGGCAGTTGAGCACCCGGAGATTGAAGCGAAAGTGAACGGTCAATGCCGGAAGTTATAGACAGTAACTACTGCCCAGAACCAGAAGGGAATGACAATCCAAGCTGGAAGTCTGATCAAATTCTGGCTGGGTTGCATTATCCTACAGTCCTACTCCTAGCTTTATTTTATTTTTTTTTTGGGAAAACCAAGTGGATATGTCAGCTTGGACCAACAAGGCTCCAACCAAATTCTAATAGATGGTCGTGGTGGCGGGTAGGGCCAAGAATTGCCACCCCCATGTGGGACCCCATACTAGAGAACAATTTTGAAGTTTGAACATCTGGTTGTGATTCTTCCGGTTCTGACATTTGAGTATATGTATAAAGTCTGGATCTTCTACAGACTATAGGAGCGTCTACATCGCCAATGAGGACGTGATACATATGAAATGTGACGATATACAAATAAGGTTAAAAATATCGATATGTATATATGCTTTATAGAGGGTGTATTGAGGTTTTGACCGATTTAAGGGTAGATGATTTTTAACGGGCCCCTCTGAATCGAATTTGAAAAAAAAAAAAAAAAACTGCTGATACTGCCTATCGATATTTTGAACCTTTACATATAAGAATAATATATAGTCACCAAGTCATTGTTATGGCATAGATGGGCCACCACTTGGCTTGGTCTTTGTAGTTATACAAATTCACTTCCAACCCATTTAGAGGCAGCTGAAATAGCAGATCAACTCCTCTTTCACATGCATTGTGAGCTATCTCATGAGCTACATTATTACTTTGTTTACTTATATAACATATATTATATATATCAAAAAGCTTAGTAAGATGATCTGATCTCTGTACATCTTTTCGGCGCAAGAGCATTCTGTAATATTAGTATTTATAATATTTACTTGTGCCAAAGCATCAGAAAAGACAGTAATGGCTCTGATATGTCTTCTGAAGGCTTCTTTTTTTCGTGCTAGATTCTTCTTAAGGCATCCTGGAGCCCCAAAACCCAGAAGGCAATTACCGTATATGCATATGCTATTAGATTTTGGGGTAAAACATTGATATAACCTGAAAACAACCCAACCTAATCTGAAAATATAGAGTTGGGTAGGATAAAGATTCAGGGTCAGGGTTGAAAAAAACCAATTTGATACAAAATGAGATTTGGGTTAGGGTTAATACCTTGGGTAACGTGATCCAACCTGGACCCTAACTATTATTACCAAGGATTAGGTTCAAAATATCGGTGCACCGGCACCCTATACACCGGTAGTGGTGTATTGGGCAGTATCAATAAGCTTTTTTAATTATTTATTATTTTTTAAATCTGACTCAGAGGGCCAGTTTAAGGTCTGTCCATCCTCTAAACTGGTTGAGACCCCGAAACACCCCCTATATTCAGCTATGCATGGATGCACTGATACATGCATATTTTAAAATTTTCAAAACTTTATGATGATAGATCCCATACGGCCATCCCACACTGGGTTGGGTATCGGATAGCTCCATATTTAATCCTTTAATTTATACATTATTAATATATTCTTGCACATTATACATGTTCTTATTATGTATGTCTAAATTGTCTATATGACGGAAAGAGGAAGGATGATTTAGGATGGTCTATTTTAAACTATTAACTAGTGAATGACCCCATATTAAGTACGGGGAATCAGTAATGTTAAATTTACATTATGAAATCAATACCGTTAAATTTAAATTTATTGATATTTTAAATAATTATTAAAATTTTAAAAATAAATTTTCAATAATTATTAGAATGTGGGTAATTTTCTTTTGTTATAATACATAGAGGGTTAACGATTAAGTGAGATTGATAGAATATAGGCAGAAGTTGTTGTGGATAACCACTTTTGCATTTTTTGTATTTTTTTAGAAATGGACTGAAAATTGTGGTAGTGGGTTGCGGGCTTTAGCAGCAACTTCTCAAAAAACGCTACATATCTAGCTTTCCAAAAAAATGAGAAGGCAATATGTCTGAATGGTGAGGAACTGTAACCTAATAGTGGATTGTGGGTTTTAACAAGAATTTCTCAAAAATTGTCACGTGTCTAGCTTTCTAGAAAATGAGAATACCACTTACTTGAATGGTGGTAGTGGGCTGTGGGGTTTAATAGCAACTTCTCAGATAATGCCATGTGTCTAAATTTGAAAAAACCACATGTCTGAATGGTGGGGATTGTAGCCTGAAAGCCTTCTTTTAATATATACATATATATATTAGATACGATGCCTACCTATACTTTTTCATGAACGTGTGCTTTGTAACGTGTATTTGTACGTGTTTGTAAATTTTGTAGGTAACTCCAACCCGACCAACAAAATTTCATGACTGAGGTGCGCTAGGGTTGAGAACCTTGGGTTGAAGAAAGGTTTGGGGAAGGTTAGGATTGAGATTTTAACTTATCATATCTAGGCGTGCAAGCCGAGTTGCCAGATTTGAAGAATTTCAACTAAATCGCAAGAGTGGTAATACATTCTTCTAGCTTACTAATAAAGGATTTGTTTGTTTTTAATTTGCACATTCCATTCCATTGTGGAAAATGGAAAAGTAGAACTCGTCAACCCAGAAACTTGCATAACCAATTCCCCATTTTTGGGGATTACGAAATTCCTAGGAAGGTGGCTATTGTGATTCAGCAGGGAATCGGGCATGAGTGAAATTGATTTCTATTTCCTCTCAAAGATAAGATTAGATTGGTTGACAATGGAGAGGGAATTGTAGACAGTAGTTATTTGAATTTCTTGGAATTGGGCGAGAATTGAATCCAATTCCACTTTCGTTAGTGCAATTTGAATGCATTAGGAAAGTTCAAAGACATTTCAAGAATCAAACTTGCTGTGTTTCAAAATAAAGCTCATTTTACAGTGATCTGCTTAGCAAGAGGTGAACTATACATACATCAATCTTGAAGCAAAAGTTGTTTGCTGTTCTTTTTTTTTATTTTTTTAATGGTGTGATCAGTTCTAGAACACTGAAATCGGTTACAAGATTGTCCTAAAATAAGATAGAAAAGCTCTCTGACTATGAATTAGAAAAACATATATCCATGCCATTGGTTGGCCTCAAAGACAAGCATATCTTGTACATGAAACATTGAAACTCAAGATCAAATTGTCATCTCCCAATTTTCTTTTTTTTTGGATAATAATTGTCACCTCCCAATCTAGTCAAACATACCGGGGAGTGGTCTTACTGCCATGAATGCATCCACCATCTGAAATAGAGGAGCAGAAGAAAGAGAGCATGAAGATTGAATGAGATATACGTTCATCTGGAAAAATAAAGCACATCTACAATAAGAAGTATAAAGAGGAAAAGGGGGACTTAAATAGGCACATCCCACTTTAGATAAAGGGGGCACACCCCTAATAATTATTCAAATGGTACATTTGTAAAAGACAATGGCAGCCCTCTGTATTGACTTCAATCCTTACAAATACTATAGTGCTTTCTTTGTCTTCTCACCAGGACTGTGCCCAGTTTATCGAAAAGGGGAAGTGTCGAATCACTGTTCCAAAAATAACACCCATCTATTTACGCTTACAGAGGAAGCATGGAAAGTGTGTAAATATGTGTATATATACTCGATACATATCCAAGATAAGTCATTTGATTGAATGCTAATTTTTTTTCTACTTTTTTTAAATATAAGTGGTAATAAACAAAAACTTCATAAATGACAATAATTTGTAATGCCAAGGGGAGGTGTCTGTTTAACCTCTAGTACTAAATACAATACCCCCCAAAGCATCTCCAGTCCCAATTGCAAACAATACAAGATTCATAAGCCAAAATCAATGCTGAGGGGGAGGGGGTATAAATCTGATGTCAACAAAGAAAGTTGTCCTGTGTAGCTTATCTAGGCTTCATAATTATCTTAGTTAGGATTTCCTAACTTTGTCAGACAAGGAAACCAGATTCAACTTCAAGGTATAAGGCTGTAATTAGGTCAGACTTAGATTGGACCCAGCTGCATCCCAGTGGCTTTTTTTCTGGATAAAGGATTTCATTTCAAAAAAGAAGGGGAAGGATGCACATGAGAAGATGTACAATCAGAGAGGATTTAACTATAACAAGATCTAATGCCCCATCAAGAAACAAGCAAACTATTTGCACGATACAAAAAAGTACTTCCTGAACCAAATTTAGCTAGAGAATCTGTCGATTGGTTTAATTCCCTTGTAATCCATCTAAAGATGCAGCTAAGAGAAGCTGAAAGCTCCTGGATTTCATGAAAGAAATGAACGAGCCTCCAAGGATCAATCCCTTGATTGCTGGTCCAACCAATCGCATTCCTAGAATCACCCTCCATGAGGATAGATGCGGCCTGGATTGAAATGGCAATCTGATACTCCACTAACAGGGCATGAGTCTCAGCTTCTGAGGCATCCATAGCAAAAATGGGAGCACTAAAATTCCACTGCATGCTCCCATCAGCTTTCAACATGATTCCCCCAATACCAGCAGCTGAGGGAAACTCCTGGGAATTGCTAAAGCTCCCATCAAATTGTAAAATAAAACCACTCTTAGGTCTTGGAACAAGGGGAGAGTTGAGCTGGGGATCGAAGTGTGAAGAATGAATAATTGCCATCAGGTTCCTGTCCAAATCTGCATAACTGATACCATTGAAGGCCTTGATAATCAGCATCCAAGAATTAATCAAAGACATGATGTGATTTCTCAGACTGTCCAAAAAAGAGCATCTGTTCTCAAAGATTCTTTTGTTACACTCTTCCCAAATGTTTCAGTGTTTCGCATGATAGCATGAACCACTGTTTTCCAGTAAAGGTTTCCCCTCTTCCCCGAGCTGGATCTGCTGACCACAACACATTGCTGGCCACATTCACTCAGCCACACATGGGGAACATCTCTTGTAATTTATATTGCCAATATTCCCAACATGCGGTTGAGTGAACATGGCCAGCAGATCTGGACTCCTCTTCCCCAGCTTGTTGCCCTTCCATTGAGAGAGAACTTGCAGATTAAGTTGGGTGGGGTTCAATGGAAGCTACCTTCTTGAACCAAATCAAGAAAGATATTCCCACATACTGCAAGCAACCTTGCAATTTATAAGGTGGCCATAAGATTCACCAACTTGATAGCACATTATGCAAATACGAGGAGAGAGAAAAGATGTCCTTTCCTTTTCCTTTGGATAACACCAATAGGTGTTTATCTGACTACAAGCTGCCTCCCATACAAAAAAGGAAGTTCTAGGGGGCTGAAGAGAGCCATATCCTTTTAAAATGGGAAAGAAAAGGGTGTAGAACCAGAAATCAGCCTATGAAAATATGATGTTGTGAAAGAACTACCCATTAGGAGCCAGGAACTAAATCAACTTATCCAGAATAGAGGGACAGACGTAGACATCCGAAAGCAGCAAAGAAGAGAGGCTTGCGAAGATTTTTAACTTCACATGAAAGTGAAAATAATTTAAACTTGGATCTATGGCTGTTTGTGAAGATTTAACAATGTTTACAGTTTACAATATTATATAGTTTTTACAAAACTTTGATAGTGGACTTCTGACATCTCTGATATGTTTCCTATTGTTTAAGCAACCAGCATTTTCATCAAAGTTGACTATTTGAACCTTTCACCAACCAAACCCTGCTTTAATATTTTAGATTCCACCTCAAGAGGAGTTTGAATCTGAACTTGGTCATCAATTCATTCATAGACATCCCTGAAAAGTCATCCTCTCAGAGACAAATCAAAGTTGTACTGGAAACAGGAACAAATTTCTGACATGACAAATTTAGGATATGACCATTACTACAGGTGGTTAGCCACCCCGCAAGTTTTGAAAATAGTAATAATAATAGCAATTCTGAATCACCTAATATTAAAGTAGGTAATATCTAGATATATTTTAAAGCATTTTCTTTCAACTCGCAAAAGGAATATAATGGGTGCTTGGTTAATGCCCATAAGCCTATGAGCACACATAACTAAATAAACAGAAATCAAAGCTTGTAATTTGATAACAACCTAATTCTAGGTGCACTCAGACTAAATCAAATTTAAAATGATCTAGTGATGCAATCAAGCTTTGGAGTAAAACCTTGCTTCAACTTCTCTTGTACTGGAGATCGAAAAACATAATTAAAGCATTTACATCCCTATTAACATCTGAATATCTGATATGTATCAAACATATTTCAGGAAGAGGGAAGAAAAGGAAAAGAATGAAAATGACCAAGTTAACCATGGAAAGATTAAGGGGCCGTTTGGCATGTCTTTTTGGGAAGATCTTCTGGTAGCTCTGACAGTAGTTTGGCTACCGTGCATCTTTCCATGTCTTTCCGTGCAAGAATAAAGTGAGAAAGACATGAAAAGCTCCATTTGGAGCTTCCCGAAATCAGCCCAAAATGGGCTTCTCGCGTCTTTTCGGAGCACCGAATTTTGGTGGCTAGATCTGTTATGAACCAAACGGAAAAAGAACATAGCGTGGTCTGCCCGGCTTGTAAATAGCCGAAAGACCGCACAGAAAGACACGCCAAATGAGGCCTAAGAAAGCCTACTTGATCACAATTTCTCATGGTTCAAAGAAAACAAATTAAACCCCCTCTACAGTGAGATCAAGTATTCGAAAATAAGGTAAGCCTACTCCTACATAGAGTTTTTATTTATTTATTTATTTATTTGATCAATAACTATGAGATTTTATGAAATATGAGCAAAATTACAATGATACAAACAGGCTATAACATCACAGTCCAAACATGAAAAAAGACACCACAGCCCTATTCATTGACAAGGCTACTGGCTTGTTGATAAATGTACTTTTTTCACGTGTAGTTTAGTAGTTCATTTCACTTTCTTTCCCCTTTGAGTATCAATTGAGTTTCTGACATGAAACTCCCCAATGAAGATATATATGTGTGTGTGTGTGTGTGTGTGTGTGTGTGCATATATATATATATATATATATATATGAATGGCAATTACCAAAAATATTTTTTTTATCAATAACAATGAAATTTTATTTTATTAAAGATTGAGAGAATCAGAATTACAAAGGAGGGAACTAAAGAATCTTAACTCCCAACTACCCAAGGTACATCCTGACCATGAAGCAATTACAATTACAATTACAAAACAGCCCAAAATATAGTGTTTTTATTTACCCCCTCCCTGCCTAGCTAGACCATATGCCAATGCATTTGCACTTCTCTTTATCCATGTACAATGAATTTCCATGTCCTTGGTGAGCCACTTGAACTTCCTCTTTTCATTGCTGTATTTCCAGAGCATAGAACTGTCATCTCTTAGCCAATTCACCACAATTTCAGAATCACCTTCTATAATCACATTTTTAATATTCATTTCCTTGACCCTTTGTATCCCTTCAATAGCTCCTAGGATCTCAGCCCTCAAAGAATCTCCTACCCCAATCAGACCAGAGTACATGGTTAACAAATTCCCTGTTTCATCCCTTATTACTCCCCCTACTCCGGAAGGCCCTGGATTGCCTATGCTGCTACCATCAAAATTCAGTTTGGTAAACCCATGAAGTGGAGGTGTCCAGCAAGAGTTTTAAGTTCTTTCTACTTGAGCCTGATTCTGCAATCTCCTTCCAGCTCCTTATCATCTCATCAACTGAGAACACTGTAAACAATTCCAATGTTCTCAACCAATGTATCATCCTAATGTGGATAGTCTCCAAGATTTCTTCCAGACTTTTCTCCTTATTTGAGAATATCCTTAAGTTTCTCTCCTCCCAAACAGTCCAGCATACCGCACCCCTACCACATCTCCACATGATCTTGGCCTTTTTGGTTGGCCAGTTAGGCATGGAAGTAAATAAGCTTTGCACATTCAAAGGGGGAGTCCACCTGCACCCAAACAAAGAAGTAAACCATTCCCAAATAACTTTAACAAACTTACAGGAAATTAGTAAATGGTATCCAAACTCACCATCGGATTTACAGAGAACACACCAATGAGGAGACAAACAAATATTAGGTCTTTTTCTTCGGGGTAGATCCCCTGTATTAACTCTTTCCAGAAAGGCTTCCCAACAGAAACTCCCAACCTTTGGAGGTATAGGTCGACACCATACATCTTTAACAGGGAAAGACGATCCAACAAGAGGAGAGGGTAACAGTGCTTTAAAGAAAGAGGCACAAGTGTAGGAACCCAAGGGAGTGAGTGTCCATATTTTGCTATCTGGCTTTGATGGCTCAATGAAGACCCCTTCAAGAATGGAAA